TCTGGTAGCAACCTCTTCCACTCTATCACTCAACTGCTAATTCAGCACACCCTTTGGACCTCATCAAGACACCCAGCATATTAACCTAGCGAATTTCTTCCTTCCATTTCATCTCTTCTTAGTTCCATCTAGATTTTACAGGCTTTCACAGTACATATATATGCCCTCCTATCAGAACCCTAAACATGGCACAATCACTTCTATTCTAGAATAAGACTCTCTGGTTTCATGTTCCAGCCCTACCACCCACATAACTTATGAACACATAGTCATAAGCTATATGATTTTGGGGAAGTTACTTAAATTTTCTGTGCATCCATGTCCTCATATTAAAATGGGACTAATAATAACACTAATATTGTAAGGCTGAAATAAGATTGTATATGTAAATGCTTAGAAAAATGTTAGATTCAACACAAGTGATCAATAAACATCAACTAGAGTAATATTCTCTAACAATGGTAGTGAAATGGCAATATACTTTAATAAGTTATAGCAAAGTATTGAGGCATATTTTCAATTTGTACTGTTTGTTCAGTCTTCCTATTGATTAACCGCTGCTATGGAGAGATAACATTTACCTTTGTATACTACCTCAAAGCACCTAAAGAAATGAATTGTTTCTTGAAGTTTTCTTTTCTGATCCAACTTTGATAGTTAACTCTCTGGTCCTCCAAGGAGAACTTACCCTCATTATAATAGAAAAAAATGACTGCCATCTAATTATAACATTTACTAAGGTAATAGGTACCGATTATACCCTGGGAGGCATTTTTACTTCATCTTCTACTTTATATAACAACTTAGAAAACAGCTCAGATTCAAAAACTAGTTTAAACTTCAGCATTTCTGATACTATGTTATATCACTTCTAGTTCTTTTGAAGAGCTTAGCAGTCTTTATAGCTTGGATCTCAAAATTGCTTTGTTATGGGTATGCTAATGAATCTTTAATTTAAACAATCTTAATTTAAGCTTTGTGATGGGTATCTTAATCCTAATATCCCCAGAGGTGGACCATTGAACTCCAGACTCTGATTACTAGACCCTGATTCTAACAAAACTAATCAACTATTTTGGACACAGCCTGCAGTGGGACTGTAGGTAGCCCTTTGAGACAATGTGAACGATGTTCTCTGAGGCTTGTTCCTGTTTTAGCTTTGTGATCCACCATCATCCTGTAAGCTGACTTTTGGTAGAAACAGAGTATAATGCCAATTAGCATTTTTTTTTTTTAATTTGCATTATTTCCAGTTGGCTTCATGAAGTCAGTTTAATGAGTGGCATTAGATCCTATTGAAACTTCAGGAAATTTTCCTAATTTTTCTGCTCTCTATTACATAATTAGTGAAATGAGTTTTGGTACAAGATAACACAAATAATATATCAAAGCCCTTTGTGTATAGCAATGAACTGGAACAATGCCTTCAACAATTTGCCTGAGCTTTTGATTAATGAATGCGCCCCTCTTTCTTTATCGCCCAGTGCTCACATAAAAAGACATCATCCTTATACATGCCTTCAGCATAGTCTCACCTTCACACTCTAGGACTGTGGAGTTAAATGTGTTTTCTGGAAAAAGATATAAATCAAGAGCATTTTTGTCAGAGTGTCACTTCACAAAGTGGCAGCATTGGAGGCAGCATGGGGTGAGAGAAAGAATACTCAAAGTTTAAGAGAGAGGCCTAGAGGGACTTATAACTGAAGTGCAGAAAAGATCCCAAGGCAGTGTCCTCTTTATTAACATCAAGTACAGGGCTGGCAAGGACATGTAGGGTGTACATGCTGGAAGTGTACACAAGTGGGGATGCAGTTATCCCGAATGTAAATTAGGGTGTGTCAACCAGGGGCTATTGCCTGGGGGGTCTCCATTGTTCCTGCAAGTCAAACATATTTTCTATTTTAACATTTGCCTGCTATTACAGAGACTGGTATGTTCCTTCCAGTATGTTCCTCATAACAGAGATCTCTTTTTAAGGATTTATTTATCTGTACAAGAACTAGGGTACAGGTGTAATGGGTGAAAGGATTCACCAGAGACAGTGCGGGGAGCAGAACAAACAGATCCACTGAAACACACAGCTGAGAACAGCAGGTGAGACAGAGTTCTGCTGCACCACATGGGTCACCTCCCTGTCCTGGAATCAAACTTGTGCTTCAGTGGTTGTGATAGTTTCATAGTGCTGTACTTTAACCCTCTGAGCCACCTGAGAGGCCCACCATAACAGGACTTTTACACCGAGCTGACAAGCAGGAACTCCAGGCGTCAAGACAATGTCCCCCAAAACAAGGAGAGCCAGGGATCCCACATACACAATGACTCAAACTAAATAGTTTTAGAATGCCTTTTGAGTAAATTAAGAATTTATGTTATAGTTAATTTACTTAGTGCACTAACTAGAATAGAATCAGATTCTTGAAATCAAGTCTTAAAAAGGTCTGTCTCTGGGAAAAAGTTCAGTTAGCCTCTATCCTAATTCTTGCTCTTAATTTTTTACAGGTCAGAATTATATTTTTCAATTTTTCAAAATCATTTTAATAAATCTAGAGTTGTGTCAGAGAAAAGCCCCAGTCCTGACAAAAAAAAAAAAAAAGTAGACCTGAGTGAAGGATGATAAATATGTGCTATATATATTTTCTAACCCTCCTCTCGGGCCCTGGAAGAAATCAGTGACCAGCCAGTTTCCTTCCTTGCTAAGCACAAATCTAGTATCAGGTTAATTGGCTGTAGGAATGGAAAAACAAAATCAATCAGAACACCCCCACTATCTACCAAATTTATACTAGAATGTAAGTTCCTTGAGGATACAGGCTGAAGTTTAGTTATATTTGTTTTCCCAACAAAAATGTTGACTATATGTTAACTTTTTCTGTATAAAATTTTAAAAGTTTTTTATAATGATTTTTTAAAAAGCCTGAGATAGCATAAATATTTTTTTTAAAATTTTTATTCTAAAGGGAGAAATAACCAATAAAGATGTTAAAGTATTAAAAGAATCCAAATTTTTCTTGGAGTCATTGTTTGAATGAAAGTTAGCACATTTGCACTTTATTTCAAAGGGATGGACTTATGTAACTCTGTTGTAAGCAATACATCCCTAAGTCAAATGGAAAAACTCTTGACCTCTTTATTTCTGTTGATCGTCTCATTTTTCTCAAAAGAGTTCAAGCTGGTGAGAATTTTCCAGAACTTGTCGTTTGAATCACCCAGTCTTCCAGAGGAAAAACATACAAACCAAATACACATATTTCAACCTCATAATTTCCCCCCTCACTAGCAGTTTCACTTAAAATTTTCTTCTTAAAGCACCCCAATATATCCATAGAATTTGTCAAATGAGCAATCCTAAGTGGTACTCAAACTAGTCACATGTCAATGTCTTCTTAATTGCTAAAGCAAATAGTATTCATGTTAATTATACCCTAATCATTTATTACAGTCGGTTACTTTTCAGATCATATAGTCCTGGATATAACCGACTGAAAACTGCTTGTGGACTTTGGGATTTTGGCAGACAGACAGAACTTCTGAGACCATGCTGTGTGAATTTTCCAAAGAAGGCAATCTACCAAGACCCACTGAGAGCCGTTCTTCTGGAATCTGACCGGAGGCTTTTATCTTGATGCCTAGATCTGATAATCACATGGAGATGTGTACAAGTGTTTAGCATAACCTGGATATTACTCTTAATGATTGCTTCAGTTTGTAAAGAGCTGGCCCCAGCGATTTCAAAAGAGGGGAGCTCATTTAGAAGCTGGATGGTTACATCTCTTTGCCAGTAAGTGCTTAATGATTCATTTTCCTTAACAGAATTTCCATAAGGCTGGAATTCAGGGAGGGGTGTCTGGAGAATGTCTGAGAGGAAGTTTGCAAGCCACTGTCCTGCTCTGTGCTGGAGAAAGCCTCCATGGTAGCTGGACGGGTTGACTAAAACAAACAGCAACAGATTTCGGTCACGTTTCTTCATTACCTCTCATGAATGATCCATGAGAGGTCACTGTGAAGTTTGTTTTGGTCAGACTGAGAACATTACAAAAATCCAAAGATAAAAACTATAGTAGATAAACAATGGAGTTTATGTGAAACCCAGAATTGATTTAATTGAATTGCAAAAAACCAACCAGAATGCTCCAAAAGGTTATTGTTTGGATGAATGTGTGTGTGCATTTTTTTTTTTTTTTAATTTCAGTCAACCATTTTACTGATCTTTTGAGTTGACTAATTTGGACTGTTGTAGCCAAAATGAAATTGTACACAGGACTTACTTATCTTTTCAAATGCTTTTTAATTTATTTTAAAGGTTTCATAATTACTAAATGTTCTCTCAGAAGATATTCTGAGAGGGAAGCAAAAATATCACTTTTGCAGAGCCATTTCCATTCTTCCAAAGGTCTGCTGGTAAATTATTCTTACTGATCTTTCCATCTTTCTGGCCTGTGCATACACACCTAACCCATACTAAATTTCACCAGATGGCATTTTATTTCTTTAAAGTAAAGCAGTCGTGGGTTTAGACAGTTGAATTTTTAAACTTCTGTATTTACTGAAAGTGCATATGGTGCTATATGGACAAAGAAATTGTGCTGAAAGAAAAACATTTCTGTCTTCAGTACCTCATAATCTCTCAGAGGAAGAGAAAATTGCAGTTATATGGTATATTTCTCACAAAGTTTTACATGTTTTAATATTTTTAGTTTTACAAAGTTTTAATTTTCTTCTTCTGTTAAAGTTAAAGACATCTATATTGTACATAACTGGAAGTTTGCATGATCTTAAACTCTTCTTTTGGTTTCAAGTAGAAAGATTATACAAAATCCAATGACTTGCCAAAGTAATCCGAGCAATTTCTAAAAGAAAATGAAACAGAAACTTGAATTTGTTAAAAAAAAAAAAAGTTGGAAACCTCTGTATGTCAATATAAGCAGAGGTTTGTAAGGAATTTACAAGGATGAGAAGGCTATAAAACCTCTCTTGAGCCACTCACAGTTCATTTCAAGGCCAAGAACGCCCCCAAAATCTGTTTCCAATTTTACAGAAATCTTTTGAAATTTGGCACGGTATTTAAAAGTCCGTGGAAAGAAAAAACCTTGTCCTAGCTAGAGCTTCAGTTTCCAACTACGAAGACAGGCTTGCTTCTTTTCAACGGTTTTCCCAGATTGAGTGACCCACACTCTGGAGTCAGAATAGCTAACTTTCAAAAACATCTGGAAAAATGAAGGTTAGTATATGCAGACTCGAGTATTGCTAAAGAATGACGGTTGGCTGAATTGAGGGCGATCAGAGTTTTCTATTGTTTAGAAGGTGAGGATTTGTACATAACTATTTACTTCCTGGAGTGGGCTGGGAATGAGAAATTGCCCTTAATATGCTGTAGAAACATTTGTCCTTGCAGAGCTGGAAGAATTCCAGCAATTATAACCAGATCTGTGGAAGACAATCAAAAAGCTTTGTGGGGAGGGAGAAATAGGATTTAGGTGTAAACAAAATCTTGCTATTTTTACTATTTAGAAGAAACTGTGTATAAGTCTAATTTTCTTTATTTTATGTAGACATGGTTAAAAATTGTATTTGGAGTTGCCATCTCTGCTGTCCTTGCTTTATTGGTGATGTGTATTGTTTTACGTCCTTCAAGAGGTAAGAGTTGTCTCTAATTTTCTCTATCTGTCTAGAATAGATTGCAAAATGTACTAATGCATGGTCACGAGTGATTGAATTTTTCCTGCATGCGTATTTTCCCAAATCTGCTATTTCTATGAAGGCACATCAGCTTACAGATATGCTGTTGTGCAACCAGAAATACTGAGGAATTTAAGGCAAGGGTAGGAAGAAATTTACAGTGTTATTTCAGCAATAGAAAAGCTTAAGAACGCTACATCACCCCCACACCCCCCAAAATATATGCTAAATTCCAAGTTTTGACAGGCCTTTAGAGACAACAATGCTTTTCATTATTGGTTTGCCTTATGGAATGTAAAGATGAGTAAGAACAGAAAAGTTAAAACAGAACTGAAGGAGGTTTTTATTGAGTCTTTCCAAAAATTTAGGGAGACAGTAGCAAATAGAGATCGTAGGGACAGATGTATGAGAAAAGAGTGAAATTATTTTTGATACAGTAGCAATAAATAATCATATAGAAGATTAGATATTGTTAAGCATTATGATTAGTGATAAGTTGATTCTTTTTAAAAAGGCTTAGAATAACATTGATCTTTCAGAGCTGAAATTTGGGAAATACTACAGATTAATGTTGGGCTAGTTTGAATTTAAATGAAGACTGTTTATAAATAACTCACTGATAGAGGAGAATAGTTTTATGAAGAGAAGTGTTCTAAAACATGGACTAAAATAACAAAATAACACATTTTGTTCCTTGAACCTAGGTAGGGAAAGGAAAAAAAAATTGTAGCATCGACAATTAAAAACTTATGATAGTTTTGGGCTATAGCATTGCTTAAAAGTTTACTGAAAATAAAGGAGGATCCATGGCAATTCTTTAGCTAAAGAATCATTTGTAAGTTATCTATGGCTCTCAAAAAAATATGAGGAAAATATATAGGAAAATATTTTTAGTCCTATTCTAGCATACAGTTTTTCCTAGGCTACATCTCGGTTTGTCATGTTCTCTTAAGTTCAAATTGTTTTCAAACCACTTCTGACCCCATGGTATCGGGACCACATTTCTCTCTGACCAGAGGGACCCCCTGACTCACTCTGTGCTTATCTATTCATGATTTGTCCTGGTTTCTAAAGAAACCCTCCAGTACTTGAAATTCACACTTTGTTCTCTTACAAACAAAAGTGTATTGAATTTATTTTAAGTCTGCTTTCATGCCAACAGGCAAGGATGGTTTTCATCTGCTCTTTGGAAACTGAGTCGTAATTTTTTAATAAGAACTACAGTATAATTTACAAAATTATATACTGTATAATATTTACAAATAGTATATGCATATATGTACATTAAATAGACATTTATATAATTATATATAGCCCGAATATTTACTCTCTTCATAAATTTAGCCATATATAGTACAGACATAAATATGTTGTAAACTATATACATTGTAAAAACCCTTTGTTGCTTATAACAGTATTCTGTTTTAAGCAACAGGATAATTTTCAGAGTAAAATACTTTCTTGATGAAATAATCAAATTCAATGTTAAGTGATATTTTATTATTTGATCAAAACCAGAAAAGTTGAGAACTAATTTTTTTTTGTCTATGATATCATTCTTATTCTATTCTAAACTTGCTCAAAAACTCAGAATATCACTTAAATAACTGGTGCAGCGAGCAAATCATGCCTTTGTAGTCCTGAGCAGGAATGTGATAGAGATCCCCTTTTCCTCCATTCAGGGGTACAGCCAATGCTGGACTTGCCTTTCTTCTCACACCCCACTCTTCAATCATCCTTGGTTCAGTCCTTACTCTTTGCATATCTGTTAATTGGTGACAAGAAGATGTGTGTGTGGGGGGGGGAAGGGTGGAAAGGAAAGGAAAGAACAAAGAACTCAAAGCCAAGTAAGCTCCTATTTGGCCTTCCTCATCAGCCATCCCATGACCTCACCTTTGCCTTAGGGCTCTTGTATTCTTAACCCAGGATTTATGTGTCAGCATAAGAGCAGTGTTTCCTTGAGAAGCTTCCTGATTCAGTTAAGAAAACTTTATTCATATATTAGTGAGTTAAGTCCCACTATTCATATATTAGTGAGTTAATATTATTCATATATTAGTGAGTTAAGTCCCACAATTGCCCATCATTGTAGCCAGTCAAGGAAATAAATGTTCAGCAGGTCTGGGTTTCCCTTCACAAGCAGGATAAGAAGCCAGTAGGCTGCACAGCCACCAGCACCAACGTGGGGTAAAGATTTCTGTCATTCCCACCAGGTGAAAGGGAAGACAGAAAAGAGAGCAGTCTCCCAAAAGGAGACTGTCTCAGGAAAACTAGCCTCAGGGTTGAAATAACTTTGTAGAATTAGGTAGGAGTTCAGGAACAAATAAAAAAAAAATGTAGTGGTGAAATGAGAAAACTCTTTTAGCTCACTCACATATAATAGAAATTAGAGATTTTTTTTTGAAACCTCCAAATTGTCCTTTTTTTAAATTTTTATCACCTAGAAGATAAGATACATACAGCTTTCTATGCGTTAATCTCCAGCTGTCCTTCTTGGCCTTGGCCTATTCTTCTTCCTGTTCCTTATTATGTCACATCTTTAATCACTTTTTCTCTTGAGGCCCTCCCTGAACATCCTTCCTCCATGAAGACAGGACAAAGCTGAGAATGGATACTCAGCTCCCACCTTCCCCTCCTTTGCCACCTTCAAAGACAACCCTTGTTTAACCAATTCCTTCTCCTAAGAGATTTATAGAGTCGGAAAAAAAAAAAAAGCAAAAGCTACAGTTGAAAAGTTGCCAGGGGCTCCAGAACTTCAAAAATAAATTCTATGTGGTCTTGTTTGATGGTTTAAAGCTTTTGAATTCTTGTACCTCTGGGAAACAAAATGTGGGTGCTATTTGTCCTCTCTCTGAATTCTTCTCAGTGGAGAGTTTCACATGTTGATGAGCAAACACTCAGAAAATATAGTTATTACTTTTCTAAAATGTCTAACACGTAGTAGCTACTTAATAAGTGAATGTTAGAATTTTATTGTGTTCTCCATCCTAATACATACACATGCAGACACATATAGATGGAAACTAAGCCTTTGTGTGTGATATATTTCAGTTTCAACAATCTCTTTCTTACTTTCAAGGCTAAAGAGTCTTTACCCTTTTATATCACCCATCCTATTACCGTCACCTCATCTTGTATCCAAGACATGAAAAATACATTTGAGAAGCTTGGGTTTTTCAAGGGCACTCATCCAAAACTGGCAAATCTGAGGCAAAAGTGATAGAAAAGACAGGAAAAGGAAAGATAAATGAATTGAGGGAAAGGGAGTGAGGAATAAAGCTGAGTAAGAGAATAAGGAAATGGGGCGAGGTGGGGATCAAAGAAGCAGTTATAGTGTGAAGACTGTAAATTCTCCTGTGCAGTGAAAAGAGAATTGTTGTTAGTCTCTCCTTGGCTCCTTGAAGTTCTCTCATTTACCTTCCAGCATTTTTCCCATTTGTTGCCCACTTTCAAAAAAGAACATTTCTCATAGGACTTGAGATTTGAATCTTCTTTTGAAATACTAGATTTGTAGCACTAGCCTATTTTGTAGCTGGTCGAGAAGTTATCATCAGAAGGACAGCACATTCTCTGGTTTGCCCAGACCATGAAACCTATTCTACTGAGTACAAGATACCATACTCATTTATAATATCTGCCTGTCTACCAGAACATTTGGGCTTTTAATCCTTGGGCCAAAGGAGGCATAGGATTCCTCCTGGTATTAAACATAACAAACTACTGAATATAAAAAAACAAGATTAATATCTCATATTTGTCTGTTATTCACAAAGTCCAGTTCACTGCGGTTCCTGGACACTTGGGTTATTTATCCAACAGTTACTTATTGAACACCTTCCAATTACCAGGCATTGGTCAAGGGCATAAATGACAAGGTCCTTTGGATATAAGCAGTTAAACAAATTAACCGAGTATTTCAAATTCCTTCTAGGTGCTATAGAACAACTAGAGTGATGGGCGTGTTAGACATCTAGGACTGTCATAATAGAATCCTACAAACTGGGAGGCTAAAATAATAGACACCTCTTTGTTCACAGTACTGAAAACTGGAAGTCCAAGAAGGGGTAGGCAGGTTTGGTTTCCCAAGCGGCTTCCCTCCTCGGCTCAGGCACCTTTGCCTCCCTGCTGTGTCCTCACATGGCTTTTGCTCTGTGCTTGCACACCTGCTTCCTCTTCCTCTTCCTACTAGGAGGCAGTTCTGCTGTGTTAGAGCTCTGTCAATAGGACCTTATGTAATTTTGATGACCTCTTTAAATGAAAGCCATAGCTCCATATGCGGTCACATTGAAAGCTAGAGCTTCAATCTGAGTCTGAGGGGAGGGACAATCCATAAGGATAAGGAGGACACAGGCATGGGAATAAAATTTGAATGTAAGGGACAGGAGTACAAACGCCATGAAGCAGAGATGTTTAGGGGGTGGCTCGGCGAACCAAAAGGAACCTTAAAGCTGTGAGGCTTTAATGCGTAGACACATTTACACAGATGATTATATCACACGTCTATTGCTTACTTAGCTGAGTAGTATCTTACATAATTTATTTCAGAAGAAATTCAAATTCATCGATAAGTTAGGCAGGACAGTAATCAATAAAAAATGAAAGTCATTTAGAATGTCTATATTTTAGGCAGAAATTCATTGTTATTACTATCACTATTGCTGCTATTACTACTACTATTACCTCAACAAACATGTTTTGTAAAATAAGGTGTATGTTAGATGAAATCATCTTCAAAAGAGATGAGAATATGTTTCTAAGGCTTGAAATTTTCCCAGTATCAACATTCAGAACTGTGAAACAGACTCCCTCAAACATCTTAAGAGTTTAAGCTTATTTATTCACTGTTCTTTTGGAGGAAATATGGGGAAGTCTAAAGGGCTAAGAAAGTTCATAGACATAAAAGAACCTTTGAGTTAAGTTGTAAATAAATCGAGCATGCAGATTATATTTCTCTGATT